AAAAAATAAAGGGGGAGAAAGGGTACCATTTCTTTAAATCCCTTAGAAGTCCCTTCAGCCAGAGAGGGAGGGTTTAGTATCAAGGGGGTTAGGTGCGACAAGAATGGTTACCTGCTTTTTTTGTCTTTACCTCTGTGATCAGAAGCAGCAATCAGTGATCAGAGCACAGATCCCAGATATTTGGAGGACAGGGTCCTTTTTGCCCACGCTGCCTCCCAAAAGCTGTGTGCAAGTTGCTCAAGGACCATGTACAGAGCTGCCTGCCATGTGGCTGAGGATGGGGGATGGGTAGCTGCTACTGTAATAAGAACTGAAATTGACCCACATTAACCACAGTTTACCATACAAGTATTCCCCTGATGTTGCAAGCCTGCAACAGACCCCAGAGTTCTAAAATAGTTACCTCAGACAGATTCTGAGAGTGCAATTATTGTCTAAGTGGAAACAGATTCCTGGTGCTTCCTACTCCACTATCTTCCCAGAATCTTCTTCAATTCATATTTAAGGTTTAGTGAGGAGCTTGCCTCACAGGCTGCCCTGGCACCAACTAAAGGGCAATTGCATCAATCTAGAAATGACCCACTTTGGTTGTGCTCACATTTCATTGGATAGAACTAGTCACATGGCCACATAACCATAGAGCATCCTGGGAAAAATAGAGAAGCACAAAGTGATTGGTAAAAACCAATATATTTGTCTTCTGTTCATCAGTTATCCAGTTGTCCCACTTTCACCTGTGACAGACAATGAACTAATCCCCCAGTGAATCATGTCTTTGTAAATCCCTTTACTTGAATGTGGGTGAGGTCTGTGACTTGTTTCTAAGCAATAAAATATGGCAAAAGTGATAAAACATTGGTCTCTTGATTAAGTTATGTTATATAAGACTCTGTCTTAGAAGACTGGAAAGATAGATTCTCCTACTGGCTTTGAAGAAACAAGATGCCATTAGTTCTAGAGCCATAAGGAGATGAATTCTGCCAACACATTGATGGAGTGGGTTTTTTTTCCTAGTCAAGCATTTAGATGTGAATACAGTTGGCAGACGTTTTGATTGCAGCCTTATGAGACCCTAAGCAGAGGTCCCCATTGAGCTCTGCCCACATTTTCCACCCACAGAAACTATGAAATAATGTGTTGTGTGTTAAGCCACTGAATTTGTGGTAATTGGTTATGCAACAATAGAAAACTAATATATTCCTGTATTTAAAAAACACTCATTTTCTCCCTAAGGAAAACAATATAGTCATTTTTTTTTTCTGGTTCTAAATTCAAGATCTTTGATGTATAGTCCTCTCTATCAAGTCCAGATGTGGTGCTTTACGGTGTAGTAACAACTTATGATGTAACAGGACAAGATATCTACCTCCTATGAAGTCCAAAATATAATGATGGACACCCATAATAGATACCACATTCAGAAAAGAAAATAATGGAAGATATGCAACAGACTTGTCCAGAGTAACTCTGAAATCTTATGGGTAGGTATTGTTATATATCCCTGGCCTGGCAGTTTGCTAAGTTTCATGATTAAATTCTGGTTTTGCCCTTGGAGAGGACCTCCCTCGTCCATTGTTTCTCTCCACCCTCATCCTTTTCCCTTCCACCTCTGTGAGGTTCTTCCTTCCCCATTATCTTGCCTGGCCACATATGAAATGAGAAACATTATGTGAGATCTCCTTGGGGAGAGTATACAACATTCAAAGTCTGCTCCTTGCACATGGAAAATTATAAGTCTTGGACTGACAAATAATTTTTTGTCTGGGCTCGTGGTTTCTTTGGTAATATAATTTTCTCTAAAATAAACTAATTTGTGATTTTTCTTTTTTGCATCCAATCAGTTGTATGTTCCAGTAACTGCACTCAAAGTGTTTTTTGAAACATAAGTTTTAAATCTCTCTCAACTACATGGTAACCTTGAAGCTATCTGACCATACCCTCAAATTTGATCTTTTCACTGGCTGAGTTTTACTGAGCTTTTGTCTCTCAGAGTCTTTATAAATCCCATTTTTACTGCTTGGGATCTAAAGCAGTCAGCCTTTCTACCTTTGCAAAGACCCAAATATCTAGACTCCGTGTATTCTCTTTCATTTATTTTTGAAAACTGGTGACTTATTTCCTAAATCATCTACTTATTGTGATACTTTGCCATGTGCTACCAATTGCTTCTTTTTTTATATTGTGGTATACTTGACGTACAATATCATATTAGTTTCGTGTGTATAATAAAGTGATTCAGTATTTGTATACATTGTGAAATGATCATCACAATGTCTAGTGACTATCTGTCACCATACGAAGTTAATACGGCATTGTTGACTATATTCTCCATGCTGTTCATTACATGCCTGTGACTTATTTGTTTTATAACTGGAAGTGTGTACTTGATTTCCTTCACCCATTTTGCTCACCCACCAACTGTCTCCCTTCTAAGGCAATCACCAATCTATTCTCTGTTTTATAAGTCTGGGTTTTGTTTGTTTGTTTTGGTTTGGTTTTTAGGTTCCACATATAAGTGAAATCATGTGATATTTGTCTTTGTCAGACTTTTTTCATTTAGCATAATGTCCTCAAAGTCCATCCATGCTGTCATAAATGGCAAGATTTTGTTCCTTTTTATGGCTAAGTAGTATTCCATTGTGTGTATGCACAGCTTTTTTATTCATTCATCCATTGATGGACACCTAGATTGCTTCCATTTCTCAGTCATTATAAACAATGTTGCAATTAACATAGGGGTACACATTTCTATTTGAATTAGTGTTCTCATTTCTATCTTTGCATAGATACCCAGAAGTGGATTTGCTGCATCATATGATCTATTTTTGTTTTTTTGAGGAATCTTCATACTGTTTTCCACCATGGTTGCAACAATTTACATTCCCACCAACAATGCTTGAAGGTTCCCTTTTCTCCACAACTCTCCAATAGTTATTCCTTTTTTGTAATAGCCATTCTGACAGGCATGAGGTGATATCTCGTTGCAGTTTTGATTTGCGTTTTTCCAATAATTAGCGATGCTGAACATCTTTTCATGTGTGTATTTATCATCAGCATGTCTTCTTTGGAAAAATGTCTATTCAGGTCTTCTACCTATCTTTTAATCAGATTTGTTTGCTTGTTTGTTTTGTTATTGAGTGGGATGAGTTCTTCATGTATTTTGGGTATTAACCCCTATTGGATATATGATTTACAAATCTCTTCTCCCATTCACTACCAACCAATGGTTTCCATCACTGACTAGTTGTTTCTTCTAATCAATTTACTTAGAGCTGCGGACTCAGTGGCACAAGATAAATTTTAGATATTATAGCAGCATTTTATTGTTTTTCCACTGCATATCATTATAACCATATTTCTAGCTTCTAATGTTAGTTTCCTTGTTGCTTGCTACTGAACTCCTAAGTAAATGACACATATTTTAGGTTTTAATTATAGCAATACCCTACTTCAAAATACCAGTTTCTGTTGTAGTCAGGATCATTAATGCTGGCTCATGTAACAAATAACCCCACATCTAATTATCATAGCACTTTATTTCTTGCTCACATCACAGTCTCATATCAGTTAGTCAGCTTTCCTCCAAGTGATGGTTCAGGGATCCAGTCTCCTCCTATCTTGGGATGATACCATTGCAATATATAGCCTCTGTGGTCTCAGTAAAGGTGAAGAGAATGAGAGAAGTCACATTAGATTCTTAATCTTGTGGTAGAAGTGACACCCATCATTGCTCCTTAAATATTTGCTGGAAGTGATCACATGGCTATCCTAAGTACAAAGGAGAATGGAAAATGTAGAGGAACATATGGATATTGTAAACACACTTTCTGCTGTATCTTATTTGACCTCTCATTCCCTATCCTATTAGAATATAAGCTTCACAAAGGCAGTGATTTTTGTCTCTGCCCCTCACTTTTATATCCTCAACACTTAGAAGAGTACCTGGCTCACAGTAAGTGGTTATTAAATATTTACATAAGGAATATATGAATGGGAGAATCCAGAGCTTTTCACCACTGATAATGGGTGAGAAATTGGAAGAAAATGAGAAAAGATTCCAAGCAACCAAAATAGATGCCACAAAATGTAGGCACTAAAGCTCAAGTACATTATTCACTGACCCTCCTCCTTTCCACAAGCCATTCTAGACAAAGTTCTAATGAGAATATATATCTAGAGTATAGATTCCATGCAAGACATAAGCAGGAACTTAAGAATGAGATATGATTATCAATAAAAGAAAAGGTGATAGGAAAAATATGGGGTTCCAAGAAGAAGGTTACTTTTTAAGTACAACAACAACAAGAAAACTATAATGGTCTAAGGTCATTTGGTGTAGAGGCCAAAAACCTGTTATATACCTACATAGTACCTAACGACATCACTGAATTACAGCACAGTAAATAAATCATAGCCACTATGAAAATAATGAGGCAGTTAGGTTTGGTAAACTTTCTTTAAAAATACAGAAAAGTTGGAATACATTTAAGTTCCATTTTGGCATTCACATGAGTACCCTTATGTCAGACCCCAAATGCCCTAATTGTAATTCACCACTTATTCCCTTCTAATGGTTGATAGATAAAATACGACATAAATGGACGTCTCAAAACATTATTGTATTTAGTCATTTCTGTGGAAGCTCCCACCCCATGAATGCTATACTGATTAGGCTGCGTTTAGAGTATCTGTTTCAATAGGGGAGAGGTCCTTGTTTTTTGGAGTCTGAAGATAATACAGCTCAGAACCTTCTTTAAGAATACACACACAGGGGCGCCTGGGTGGCGCAGTCAGTTAAGCGTCCGACTTCAGCCAGGTCATGATCTCGCGGTCCGTGAGTTCGAGCCCCGTGTCAGGCTCTGGGCTGATGGCTCAGAGCCTGGAGCCTGTTTCCGATTCTGTGTCTTCCTCTCTCTCTCCCCCTCCCCTGTTCATGCTCTGTCTCTCTCTGTCCCAAAAATAAATAAACGTTGAAAAAAAAATTAAAAAAAAAAAAGAATACACACACATACACACACACGAAAAGAATACACAGTTTAGATTTTTTTTAAATATTTGGAATTAAAAATCACAACAGATTACAAATTAAATTCACAAGTATCAGACATCATCAAATATAAACAAATACAATTATTAAAAAAATTAATTGCCTAATATACTTTTACAATACTTTTCCCTACATTTTGGCTGTATACTGTTTTCTTCTTCATGTAAAAATGATTCTGTCACATTTTGTTCTATAGCATTAATAGCTATTTCAGTCTTTCCGTTAGCGTAGTTGATTGAAATTTCTTTTTATTATTGATACTTTAGAAGAGTTTCTTTCCAGTCTACAGTTCATTATTGGAAAAGTTATATACATTTTTAAGATTATCGTCAAATATGGAAAAATCTCTACCAAACTTCTTTCCCATATATTAAGGTGTGGGGGGATTTTCCACATTCCAGTTCTGGGTCCATGTATTCCAAATATTGTCTACCCCGTTACCTGTATACTTACATGCTGGATCCTGAAGGACATATTCATTTGCTGATAAGGTGTCTGGCCCTCCACCTTTGTGTCATAATAACCTGTGGTGAGATAACTGTAGGCCTTTGAGCTGCTGGAATAGATGTCACTGTTACTATAGGCTGTGATGCCCATGAACTACATACATTTATTCCACTTACAAAGTCAATTTTCCCTTAGCCAGGTCCCCAAATGTCCACGACCACCACAATGCTTCCAGACAGAAGGGAAATTATGACAGAATGGAAGTTAGATGAAAGGATACAGCAGGCTCTTGAGATTAAAATATTTTACTGTTTAAACCTTTACAGAAATGTAAGACCATGGGAACATATTGCTAGGATTCCGCCTGTGGTGTTAGAAGGGGCTTGATGTTTCAGTTTCTTGGAATCTGCCTTTGGGTTCAGCTTTGGACACTACACTTCAGAGGCAGTGTTCACAAACTTGAGCACATTCATAGAAAGGAGGTAACCTAGGATGATGAAGAGTCAGGACACTCATATAATCAGCAGTTAGAGTCCATGCAAAGATCTTGGGAGACACAATTCAAGTAGTGTACAAGTCTGTCCTCAGTTCTTGGAGTCCTGTGAGGTAAAAGAAGTATTATGAGTCAATATTAGGAATCACTTTCTAGGGTTAGGCCAGTTTCAACATAGATTTGATCAGCTTGTGAAATACGCGTTTTCTTTATAGGAATGGTTTAAGGAGAGGCTACGTGAGAACCTGTCACGGATTCTGTGAAGGGGAGACTCAAATTAGGTAGTGGCGGTGATAGGGAATGGGGGGGGGGGGTTCAGTATGAAATAACCTAACCCTTACACACTTTTACAAGTCTGAGATTCTAGGATGACTTTGCTATTAATTTTATTTGACACCTTAGCCTCAGGTTTAATGCTTGATAAATGGAAAATTTTAAAGATTAGATGGGGCTACTTTTAAGGTAAGAGGAAAAAAAAATTTTCTTTAAACCTAAGGGCAGCAATAGAGATTCATTTTAGTGTTATTTATTTTTATGCTTTTTTATTTAAGGCAAGATTCTAACATAGTTAATACAGGAGGTTAAAGGTTGGAGGTATGGAGTTGATGGGACTAAAGCAAGCTGTAGAAACAGAACATCATATGGGATCTCTATGGATCCTGATTCTTCTAGTAGGAACAAAAACAAGCTTTTTTTTTTTTTTTTTTCTTGCCCTTTGCTGGGAGGGGGGGTTCCTCAATTCTGTGGAATAGCTTAGCAATGGACAGATGTCTGGGAATAATGAGTCAGGGCTTTTCTATGACAGGTAACAGAACACAATTGAAACTGGTCTAAGGAAATAAAGAGGAAGGGGATTTATTGGCTTCAGGGGTAGCGTTCATTCAGACATATTTGCCTCCTAAGGCTCAAAAGGCATTATCCTCTCTCAGCATTCCTTCCCTTGAAGTTGGCTTCCTTCACCTGCATTAGTGGTACCTGTTATCACTGCCTTATTAGTTGTCCTCGTTTAAAAGGCTTCTTGTTCTGAACTGATTCAGCGAAAGCCCCAGATGGAGTTCTCCGACCAAGATACCCATCTCAGAACCAATCTCTGTGGTCTGGACTATGATGACTGGCAGTTCTGGGGAGTGAGGATGGAAGGTGTAACCATCCAGAACCATTAAGACTCCTGGGCAAGAGGGAGGGGTAGTTCCCAAAGGGGGTAAAAAATTTTTTTCTTTTAACAGAGAAGGGTGGGGAAGATGGATAATACTGAGAGCACACACTCAAACATTCCAAAATAATGGATATCCATTATTTAGGGGAGGGGACAATGTTTGGGGACTTCCTCTATAGGGCTATAGTTGTTAAACTGTAAAATCAAGTAAATCTTTCCCACATATGGATAGATATCATGCATAGGGGGCAAGATCCTTACATTTTGGCGTTTTTACTCTTTCCTCCAAGTGGGACTGAGAGTCAATGAAGATGCTACAGAAGAAGTAAATGGAAAGCTGAAGCTATTAATGCAGTAATTTTTTAATTTAGTGCCCTCTTTAGGCAAAGTACCCCGAAGCACTTTCAATAATCCATTTTTATTATGACCACACCCCGTGTAAGTGACATGAGTATTACCGTCTTGCCCTTGCAGTTGGGGAAACCGAGGCATGACACTCCTCCATTCAGCTTTTCGGTGGGATTTGGGCAGAGACCTGCTCGCATGACCTCAGAGGGTCTCCTTCCTCCACGGCGCCTCTCAGAACTCTCGTGTCCTTCGGCGTCGCAGGAGAGAAGCTCCGGATCCTCCGCAGCCTCGGGATTCGTCTTCCGCCCGGCTGTACCCGCCCCACTCTCCCGCACCTTCCTCAGGAGGTCCAGCTGGCCAAGGTCTGGCTGTCCCTCCCGTCCTTCCCCCTGCCCCCCGACTCCCTTTCCCCGGTCCCCGACGTGCAGGAAGCCCCCCAGCCAAGCGCCCCGCAGGAAGGTGCGGGCAGATGCTGCCCAGGCGTCTAACGGGAGGGGCGCCGGCGCCGCCGGAGGTGAGCGGGCCGGCCCTGCGCTCTCCGAGGGCCGGGGCGCAGGGGTTGGTTGGGGCGGGCGCCCGGGCTAGCCCGGCAGGAGGAAGGTGGCGGCGGGAGGGAGGCCGGGCCAGGCGGCGGGTAGCGGCGATAGGGGAGATCCAGGCGTGCCGGCGCACTGCTCGCGGGCGACGCCAGGAGAGCGAGCGCCGGGGAGCCGGACGCTGCGGAGCCGCACGCTGCGGAGCCGCTCGGGCACGCGCCGCGCCCCGCCGGGGTCGCCGAACTCGGCCGGAAACCTCCTCGCGGCGCCCGGACCCCCGGCGCCCTCTCGAGCGCGGGCGGGAGACATGGCTTCGCGCGTCCCCGCCGCCGCGGGTGCTGACTCGACACAATCGGCGGGTCGCGCGGGGGGCGCGGCGTAACCCGGGGGTGGGCGGCGGCGCGGAGCCGCCAGAGGAGCTCCGAGTGTCGCTGGGAGCGAAGGAAGATGCCAGCACAAAGGCGAGCGGAGACCCAGCCCGCTGCGGAGGGCGGCGGGAAGAGTCGCTGAGGGGCGCACCGGACGCGCTCTGCTCTTGCGCCGCGTCTCTCCCGTCGCCGCCTCGGGTCGCGGGGTCGGGGACGGCAGCGCAGGGTCCCTGGGCCCCTTGGCAGCGGCCGCCGCAGTGGGGAGCTGCATGCGACGCGCGGCGGCGCCCCCGGCCGCCTGCTTTCCCCGCGGCGCGCACGGACCGGCCGGAGGGCGCCGGGGCCGCCGGTCTGGTCGACTGCGGGGGCGCCCTCCCGCCCCGCGGCCCC